AGTTTATTATTTTGTACATAACAGTATTTCTAGTGTGAAGTGAGCTAACAGTTTATTATTTTCTACATAACAAATATTTCTAGTGTGAAGTGAGCTAACAGTTTATTATTTTCTACATAACAAATATTTCTAGTGTGAAGTGAGCTAACAGTTTATTATTTTGTACATAACAATATTTCTAGTGTGAAGTGAGCTAACAGTTTATTATTTTCTACATAACAATATTTCTAGTGTGAAGTGAGCTAACAGTGTATTATTTTCTACATAACAATATTTCTAGTGTGAAGTGAGCTAACAGTTTATTATTTTCACAATGAACACCTGTAAAAAATACGATTCACAATGAACACCTATAAAAATATGATTCACAATGAACACCTGTAAAAATAAGAACTTTATTTACAATTCTGAAATAAGATACATCTTAAATTAATATAAAGAAATTGTTTATTTCCACTGAAAGTAATCACTATAATATATTAAATAACCAAACAAATCTTACTTCCAAAGCTTTGGTGGAAGCTGGTGGTCTCACCAGCTCTAAGCCAAATAGTCCAACACAAAAAGCAAGATGAGAGTGGTGAGGACTTTCTCCTAGTACAGAACATAGAAATCCAGCCTTGGACAAAGTGGCAGATGCATTGAGACTGACTTGATGACATACCGGGTTGAAGCGTCGACTCCTTTTACCACGGGGTGGCGGAGCAGGGGTTTCAGAAATGAAGTTTGGAGGATTCGCCAGAAGTTCTTCTGCTAATTTTACTGCCAGTTTACAGGCTTCTTGAGTATGACCATGTGCATGAAGAGATTCTGCACGTGCAAACAATACCTACAAAATTAAATTATACTGCAGGAAGTTAATAATTCTTTGCCTCAGCCTCTGACAAATAAACATGTAATAATGACAGAGATGTATGGAATTGGCATTTGGTTGATTCTTTCACAATGAACACCTGTAAAAAATACGATTTCGTATTTTTACAGGTGTTCATTGTGAATCGTATTTTTACAGGTGTTCATTGTGAATCGTATTTTTACAGGTGTTCATTGTGAATCTTATTTTTACAGGTGTTCATTGTGAATCCTATTTTTACAGGTGTTGTGTAAGTCTAACTGTTACAAATGTTAGTTGTAAATCTTGTTTTTACAGGTTTTATATAATTCTTATTGTTAGAAATGTTACTTTTGAATCTTGTTGTTACAAGTATTGTATGATTCTTATTGTTACAAGTTTCAGTTGTGAAACTTATTGTTACAAGTGTTACATGTCAATCTTGTTCTAACAAGTGCTGTGTAATTCTAATTATTACAAGTGTCATGTATATTCTTATTATTGTGAGTGTTACATATTTTGAAGACACTTGAATGTACTTTCTTACATTTTAGGTTAAACTTGTGAATCAAGAACAAGACTTGTTTAACCAGTTGAAACGCATCACACTGACAGATACTGAATTAAGAGTAGTAAGAGAACGGGCTAAGCAGCTGTGTTCAGGACAACTTCGATCAAGAGGAGAGGCACTTCTTCCTTTGATGTTAGCAAGTTTCATCTTTGATGCTTTAGTGTTGTGTGGTAAGGGAAAAGATAACTCTCTTCTGTGGTTTAATTTGTTTATGACTGTATACACTTTTGTAACCAGTAAAAATTATCATTCCAGGTATAACACATTTGGTACAGGTGACAAAAAATAAAAATATTAAAAGCGGAATCTTAAAACTACTTTCACTTTTGATTTCTGCAAAACAAATCGCTCTGTCGTAACATTTACTGGAACCTATCATGAAGAATGTTCAACTTTCTGGTGTGAAGTGCAGTCTTTTTATACCTAGAAATGTTGTAGAATCAATATTTTTAGTATTATATGACATTTATTTGGTGTATTTATCAGTTTTTTTTATTGGAAATATAAAGAACCATGACTTATATTTCAAGTCTACTTCTCTTTCTGTCAGTGGTTTGATTACTCCAGCCCTATGTTTGCACCCTTTTATGATGTCATGTCATGTGGCCCGAACAATTACTAATGAAGCTTTGAAAATAGATAGAAGAAACTCTAATCCCCCCCCCCCACATCAGTAAAGAATAAACAAAACAATTGTAAGAGTAATTTGTGGCTCTACATGTTAGCTATCTGGAGCTTGTGTAGGGGTGTGCAAATAAAAGATCGTAATGTGAAGTCAGATCAAAACACTGACTTCT